CCAGATACTCCCTTTTATCAATTCCAGGGCTTTAGATAAACTCTCAGCCAATTGCGAATCAGAAAATATTTGAATTCACCTTTGACCTGGAAGCCCTTCCTCGCCCCCACCCTTCTCACTCCCTCCACCCTCAACCCCCTCCCTGCTTTGAGTTGTCCTGCCTTCCCAGATCAAACCAAGGTACATCTTACATGTATTGGTTGATGTTTTATGTCTCCCTAAAATGTATAAAACCAAGCTGTAGCCTGACCGCCTTGGGCACATGTAATCAGGATCTCCTGGGGCTGTGTCACAGGCCATGGTCACTCACATTTGGCTCAGAATAAATCTCTTCAATTATTTTACAGTTTGACTCTTTCTGTTGACAGTATTAACATGGAAAAATTTTTCAAATCAAGTTGCAGAAAATATAATGCATTCCGTTTTATAAAATAAAAGTTATATGTGTGAATATGAATGAATATATATATGTATATTCTAAGCATAAAATATGGGATTTTTGTTGGTTTTTGGTTTTTTTTGAAACAGTCTCGCTCTGTCGCCCAGGCTGGAGTGCAATGGCACAATCTCGGCTCACTGCAACCTCTGCCTCCTGGGTTCAAGCAATTCTCCTGCCTCAGCCTCCTGAGTAGCTGGGACTACAGGCACACACCACCACACCCAGCTAATTTTTTGTATTTTAGCAGAGATGGGGTTTTGCTGTGTTGCCCAGGCTGGTCTCAAACTCCTGACCTCACATGATCCATCTGCCCACCTCTGCCCCCCAAAATGCTAATATGTTTAGCTAACAATGTTGACTGCTACAGAGTGGAATTGCTGGCAGGACTTTTCATGTTTTACTTTATACACTTCTGTATTGGCTGAAATTTTACACTGAATATGGATTTTCATAATTAAAAATATTAAAAACAAAAATATTTTCCAAAATTGATCCTAACTTTGGTTTACACCCATGATGTCAGTTTCAGGCATGAGCCCCCTCACATGGGAATCAGGTCTGCTCACCTTGCTTTGTAGGGGTCCAGCCCTAACATACACCTAAACTGGCAAAGCAGGCAGATGCAAAGAGCTTTGATGGAATGTCTCCTGCCCCTCCTCCCAGCCTCAGGGCTGTGTAATGGCAAGTGCAAATTAAAAATAAGTGGCTTATTTCTCTCTGTTGAAAATAAGGGAAGAAACTTCTCCCTCTTCCCTTTCCTTAGACATTTACTTTAGAAAAATTTATGAGTTCTTGCCAGGCATGGTAGTTCATGCCTGTAATCCCAGCACTTTGAGAGGCCAAGGCAGGCGGATCACCTGAGTTCGGGAGTTCGAGACCAGCCTGACCAACATGGAGAAATCCTGTCTACTAAAAATATAAAATTAGCTGGGCATGGTGGCACAAACCTGTATTCCCAGCTACTCGGGAAGCTGAGGCAGGAGATCACGTGAACCCAGGAGGCAGAGGTTGTGGTGAGCCGAGTTGGCACCACTGCACTCCAGCCTGGGCAATAAGAGTGAAACTCCTTCTCAAAAAAAAAGAAAGAAAGAAAATTTATGAGTTCTTTCTCTGTCTCTTTGAACTATATATAAATCTTTTTAAATGTTAACTAATCCTCTGAACAGCATTACAACCCAGGAATGTCTTTCTTAAGGACCTGGGAAATATCTCTTTGAAATCATCAAGGAAGATAGCGCCTCTATTTCCCAGTCCTGGTGGGAGGGGAGGAACCTAACTTCAGAACATCTTGCTCCTAAACTACCTCCTGTTATAAAGATATGTAAAGTTTATTTTTCCTTTGGATAAAGTCAATTAGATAGAACAGATGATTCACCCCAATTACCAAGTGAACTGAGGACGAACTGTGTGTGACAAGTGGGGTTGTCAAGTCCTTTTTCTTGAGGACTAGCTGTTGTTTATCTTGAGGAAAATGTATGCAATTAATTTTATTAATATGTTTGTCTTTATAAATGGCTGAAATTTCTGTCTTTGCAATCTTTTTAGAAGATGCCTGTGATAAGCATTATATTCTGGTTTAATGTTTACTCAATAATAAAACTATTTTCTTTCATTCCTACCATTGTAGGGCAGTTTTCTGGGCTGGGAATAGATTTTTTTTTTTTTTTTTTTTTTTAAGACAGTATCTCTCTGTCGCCTAGGCTGGAGTGCAGTGGCGCAATCTCGGCTCACTGCAACCTCCGCCTCCCAGATTCCAGGGATTCTCCTGCTTAACCTCCCAAGTAGCTGAGACTACAGGAAGGTGCCACCACACCTGGCGAATTTTGTATTTTTTAGTAGAGACAAAGGTTCACCATATTAGCTGGTCTTGAACTCCTGACCTCATGATCTGCCCGCCTCGGCCTCCCAAAGTGCTGGGATTACAAGTGTGAGCCACCTCGCCCAGCCAGATTTTTAAAATTATATTTCCCAACAGCTACAGAGTGCCAGACCCCCTTGTACACCTTCAGAAGCCAAAGCCACGCCTGACCCCCTAGGTTCTACCTGCTGCATCCTGGAGAAACTCTCTGGAGCTACTGGGAGAGTAAATGGAGGCTCAGGCAGATGCAGGCTGTGGAGCCACAGATATATTAAAGAATAAAAATTATATCACAGACTAAAGAGGTCTGTGACACTTTGACATGCTCCCTCAATCCCCAGACTTTCTGGGACTGGACCACTGGCCATCTGTAAGGCTCTGATTTCTAAGGAGTTTATAGCAGAAGTTTATACCTCCCACTTAGTCTTGGAACTAGAATGAGTGTAGAAGTGGGAGCAAGTACAGACAGCTAAGGCAAAGTGTGCAAGCAGATGAACTTTGCCCTCATTGCCCCCTTCCTCCTATTACCGTTTCCCAATGCTCACTGGCCCTCAGGGTGTCCTCCCAGTGCCTGCAGGCTTCTTCCTTTTTTCTAAGGGGCTAGACTGCTTTATTTAGTGGAAGTAGCCCAACCCAAATCCAAGCTAAAATTTACATTTTCAAAAAGGACTCTTGCTAAACTGCACATATTTTCACTTTATTTAGTACATACTAATTGAGCATATCTGGTGTGTGAAACACTGATATATGTTTCTGGGAGAACAGGTAGGAGATCCCCAAATTAAAATCATGCAATCTTTGCACTAAAAGGGATTTCCTGTCTCTTGGGGAAGATGTTACAGGTAGTTAGGCATGAGCAGGGTAGGAGAGGGCTCTCCCCAACCCACTAGGAATGTCAGGTGATGGTTCGACATTTGTCACATTGCCTCTCTAAAAGTGAGAGGCCATTGCCAGGGAGAGGCCATTATCCTGAGTGTCCACACCTGTTGCCTGTTGCACTAAAGTGTTAATTGAATGCAGATGCTAGGAAGAAGCAACTTCCAGGGCATGCACAGTAAGAGACAAAATAGCAGAATGTGACCTCCCAGGGCACTCCACCAGAAAAGGGAAGAAAGCCTCAGATAGGCATATGCACAATGTTCTTAAACACACTGTGCACGCTCACTTCCCAAGGGTAAGGAGGGCACCGAACATGCAGGCAGCCCACCTTAAGGGAAGAATCATGAGAAAGGGACCAGCCTGTAAAGTTCTAGGATCAAGGTTAAACACTGCACTTGACCTCGGCCCGCTTGGGTCTCTTCCAAGCATACTTTCCTTTCTTTCCTGTTCTAAAGCCTTTTTAATGAATTTCCACCCCTGCTCTGAAACTTCCCATGGTCTCTTTTTCTGCCTCCTTTATGCCCCTCAGTCAAATTCTTTCTTCTAAGGAGGCAAGAGTTGAGGTTGCTGCAGACACGTATGGATTCACCTCGGATAACTCGGTTGCCTTTCACTGCTAACACATTTGGTGCTATGAGACTCAGATGTTTGCCACCCCTAACAAAGACAGACTAACAAACACACAAACCCCACAAAGCATGAAAAGGCCTGTAAGAAGGAAGTGTTTGCTGTGTACTGAGAATGGAACTGCTAGGCTAAGGGTTCCCTAAGTGGAAACTTGAACGTATGTTGCTGGTTTTAAATCCAAACTTAGAAGCTTTTGGTCAGAGACTTCTGAGAGAGTCTATGAGTCCCCAAATGTTTTAAGTGAAACTGAAACATTTCTGGTAGAGAGAGCATGGGTTCTGAGGCCATCTCAGAGTCCTACGTAGGGAAACACAGAGGTCTGGCTTCTTCCTCTCCACTAATCTGACCCTAGAGACTCATAGAAGTGTCCATAGAAGACTGGGCCTCATAGCCTAACTGCTTTGCCAGATGTACAGTAACAGTAGGCTTTCTCTAGAGGTACAAGGTGTTCTCACAAGCCCTACTAGCCAAAGAATCTAAATCTTGGGGCTTGGGGTCCACTCAAAGAAGCAGGGTCTTTTGCACATGAAAGACATCCTCAGTTTCTACAGCTCCCATTCCTGGCCTGCAAAACCATCAACAGCGCTCCATTTACCTGAGCTCACCTTTCACTGTTCTCATGGGATCTGGTTTTCCACTTTGGGAGGATTGTCCATCTGCTTAGACTTATATGAAATTCCAAGGCTGTAAGAACTGAGACTGAATATGAACGTGGACAATAGGCTGGGCGTGGTGGCTTAGGCCTGTAATCCCAGCACTTTGGGAAGGCGAAGCGAGTGGATCACCTGAGGTTTGGAGTTTGAGACCAGCCTGACCGACAGGAGAAACCTCATCTCTACTAAAAATACAAAATTAGCCGGGCGTGGTGACACATGCCTGTAGTCCCAGCTACTCCAGAGGCTGAGGCAGAAGAATCACTTGAGCTGGGCAGGCAGAGGTTGTGGTGAGCCGAGATCATGCCACTGCACTCTAGCTTGGGCAACGAGAGTGAAACAACATCTCAAAAAAAAACAAGTGGAGAACAGCCAGGCCATATATGACAACAGAACTCTGACTCAGAGACTCCAAAGGAACCCTCAAGGGAAGCCAAATCACAATCAAACCTCTGAAGCACTTGGCCCAAAATGGCCAGGACTTGCTTGTGACTACCCACTTTCCTATTTTTTGAAACCCACCTTTCCTTCTACGCTTTTTTCCAACTCAAGACCAGAGAAAGCCAAATATGCTTCCCAAACCATCCCCTAAGATGTCCTGCTGCTAGTTATCTCACCTCTAGCTTCTCCATGCCAAAACCCTCTAATCAAGGAATACCCAGGCCTTCCCCTTTTTTTTCTACTATGAAGCTTTCCACTCCCCTGCCTGCCTTTGATTCTCTGCCAAATGCAAGTGATGGTGGCTGACTCCTCTGATATAGCCAGTTCTGAATAAGTGGCCTCTGTGTTCATTTTAGTGGTCTTCATTTATTTCCACAGAACTCTGCAGCAGTTCCTTAGGTATGTACGTGTCCTTCTGACCAGTTTCATGCAGAGCACAGGGGCTAATTTAGCAAAGTGGATGCTGCAGCACTAGCAGCCAAGTAGGACAGAAAATTAAGCCTCAAAGATTCTGATGACATTGAAAAGCTGATTTGCAGTGAGCTGAACCATTGGCCCAGAGGAGGGTCAGTTAAATATCCCAGGCAGTGTTTGGGCACCAAGAATTCAGACTAGGAGTGTGGTTAAAAACCAGATTCTTTCCAGTTGTATGGAGCCAGAAAAAGGGAGAAGCTATGCTTGGTGTGGAGACAGTGAACTTTGTAATCAACCTGCTTTTTGGTCACAAGAATCTAAGACCTTCTCAAGATAGCTCAATAAAAAGGGATTTGATTTACAGGTTCAGGCAAAACACATCAAATCCAGGAACAGTAATCAAAACTGTTACTAGCTCCAGGCCTAGGAAGTCGTGAGAGAGGAGGACTCTTTGGGCTATGCCTCTGCAGCTGAGTGGGCTCTCATCTGTCTCTTCTGTTTTTCTCTATATGTCAACTCCATTCTCTCTGACAGGCAGACTGATTCCCTCTAATTACTCATCAGCTTGCACCTGGCACCCAAAGTGGCCACTCCAGCCACCAAGCCTATTTCTGCTTCCAGGGGAAGCATCACACTTGTGTGGAATAATCTCTGTGTTTTTTGCTTCAATTTATCAAAAAAGTGGTATCTGTTTGCACAGCTCATCTGGTCCAGCCAAGCCACACAGGTCATAGGTCATTGGCCAGTCTCATGTGTGCATGTGTCCCTGCAGGTGATGAGTTATGCCTTCAGTCAGATTATCCAACCATGGATCAATTATTAGTGGCTAGGGGAACAAGGCCATGTCTTACATAAAGACGTGAACATGTTGGATATTATGAACATGTTCTATTACAGAAAGCAATATTATTAAATAACACAGATGATGACATACACCCGTCACAATCATTGCAAATGCCCACTAGGAAAAAAATGAATTACAGGATATGATAGTGTATTAGAGAATAATAAAGGTTATTTCTAAAAAGATCCTGCAGAAGATGGAAAGAAAGAGGGTCCAAGCAGAGAAGTCCAGGAAGGACTTCCTGTCAAGATGATGGAACAGTTGTGGTCGGGATCCATAAGGAAATGGGCCAAACATGTTAAGACTTCTAGGAGGAAATGGGCTGCATGGCCCTTCCATTCTTACAATATTCAGTGTGGGTGGGACTTAGAGATCATCAAGTCCAGCCCTGTTGCACTTCAGCTGGGACTACTGAGGGTCAGAATGGCTGGTGACACAGCTGTGGTCACAGATTAAAGTTAGAACCAAGGCCAGAGTCCAAGTCTCTGTCTCCACAGCAGTCTTTCCACTATAGACTATTCAGAATTCCTTAGCCAGCTCACTCTTTCGTGAAGGCAGCTCCTCTCTTTCACAAAGGCAGCTCCTCTCTTTCTAACACTGGGGCTTTACACAATAGATACGTGGTGGAGAAGAGCAAGCCCCTCCTTGGTGGTCTTTGTTGGAGGACAAACTGCTCCTCAGCACAGCCCTCATCCTCTTTTCTAAAACTCCTCGAACCCTGACCCACATACCCCTGAGGACTCCCTGCATTCTGTCATTCCTCAATGTATATATAAAAGGGTTGAGGAATGGGGTCACCACACTGCTCAGTACTGAAGGGACCTTGTTGATCTCCAGATATTCTTTTTGGGAGGGGGTCACATAGACAAACACAGTGATGCCACTAGAAATGATGACTATGGTCAGGTGGGAAGCACAGGTATTAAAGGCCTTCTTCCTTCCACTTGCAGAAGGAATGCGCACTACTGTCAAGATGATGTACATGTAGGAATAGGCCACGAGGACTATGCAGCACAGGATGACCACGGAAGAAAGCATAAAATCCATCAGCTGGATGGCAGTGGTGTCTGCACAGGCCAGGGCCAGCAAGGGTCCACTGTCACAGAAGAAGTGGTTAATGATGTTGGAGCCACAGAAGGGCAGCTGCGAGATGAGGATGGTTGGAAAGAGCACAGAAAGGAAGCCTCCCACCCAAGAGAACACAACAGTTCCAATGCAGACGGGAGGTCTCATGATGGTGGTGTATCGCAGGGGGCAGCAGATGGCGGCGTAGCGGTCATACGACATGACCGTTAGCAGGAGGAACTCAACTGTGCCCAAGAAGAAGTAGAAATAGCACTGGGTGATACATCCGGCAAAGGAGATGGTTTTATCCCCAGATCCTAAGTTGGCCAACACTTTTGGAGAGATGACTGAGGTGAAAAGGATGTCCAGAGTGGAGAGGTTGCACAAGAAGAAGTACATGGGGGTGTGGAGGTGGGAGCAGGACAGCACGGTGGAGATGATAAGCAGGTTCCCCAGAAGAGTCAGCAGGAACGTGGGCAGCAGGAGCACCAGGAACAGCAGCTCCGCCTCCCTGCTCAGGGGAAACCCCAGCAGAACAAACTCAGTCACCGCTGCAGTCCCGTTCCCCATAGGCCTGGTGGGCCTGGCTCAATTCTTCTAACAGAACAAATGGAGATAACACTTAGGAGAGTGCTCAATGTGTGAAATCCTATGGCTGCTCACTACAAAAATCTAAACATAGAACATGATGACTGCCAGTTAGACATGTAATCCAAGTTTAGCTTGGCTTTCAATTATTTGCCTATCAAAGTGGACAAGATTTTTGAAAATAATAATGTTCACTGTTAGCAAGGGTGTCCTGAGACGTACACTGTCATATGAACTTTCTAAAAGATTATTTAGCAATGTGTATCAAAAACCTTAAAATTGAATACATTCTTAGATTCAGAATTGTAGTTCCATCCTGAGGAAGCAGTCACGCATATGTTAAATTTTGCCGCAAGAATATTCGCCACAGAGTTTTTTTTACAATAATGAAAATTTGGTAACAACTTAAATATCCAGAAATGGGGGACAAAATAAACAAATTTTGGTACCTTTAGCCAATAACATATGATGTAGCCATTACAAACTATATTTTATAGTAACATGTAAATGACAAAACATTCAAAATGTATTATTAAGTTTTAAAGCATTATTTACATTTTTTTGTTTGTTTTTGTTTCCTTTTTTTTTTTTTTTTGAGACAGAGTCTCACTCTGTCACCTAGGCTAGAGTGCAATGGCACGATCTCTGCTCACTGGAAACTCTGCCTCCTGGGTTCAAGCCATTCTCCTGCCTGAGCCTCCCGAGTAGCTGGGATTACAGGTGCGTGCCACCATGCCTGGCTAATTTTTTATATTTTTAGTAGTGACAGGGTTTCACCATGTAAGCCAGGACGGTCTCAATCTTCTGACCCATGATCCGCCTGCCTCAGTCTCCCAGCGTGCTGGGATTACAGGTGTGAGCCATCATGCCTGGCTAAGTATTTGTTATTATTAGGTCTTTTGTTTGTTTGTTTTTTGTTTTTTGAGACAGAGTCTCGCTCTGCCAGGCAGGAGTGCAGTGGTGTGATCTCAGCTCACTGCAACCTCCACCTCCTAGGTTCAAGTGATTCTCCTGCCTCAGCCTCCCAAGGAGCTGCAACTTTTTTTTTCAAGTGCATAAGAGATTTTTGTTTCCCAGGCTGGCCTCTCATAGCCTCACCTCCTCAAGTGCCAGGGCAACAGGCTTGAGCCACCGTGCTCCCTATTATTAGGTTTTAAGTGTTTTTAAAGCAAGTTATAAACTTGTAGTGACATTGTGATGCCATTTTGGGGGAGAGATGTAAATTAGCAAAGGTCCTAGAGTAGCCAATAAGACACTGCTGAAGAAGAAAGTCAGGGGAAGGGGCGCACCTTGGCAGATATTGAGACTTATAAAATTAGAATAATTAAGGCAAGATGATATTGGCACAAATATGCATTAAAATGACCAATGGAACAAAATACAGAGCCAAGAAACAGACCCACACGGATGTGGAGCAGTGATGTGTCAGAAGTGAAAGAAGCTGGTACTGCTGCTTGCCCACAGGGGAAAAAGTGAAATTGATTCCCAACCTCATATGAGACACTAACATCTACTCCAGATGAACAAAAAACTTACATGTAAAAATCAAGACTTTCAGAACAAAAGATAGAAGAATGTTGTTTTTAGCCTTAGACTAGAAAAGAACCTACTAAAGAAGACCCAAAAAGTACTAAACAGAAAAGAACATATTAATAAATGAAACTATGTTAAAATTAAGAATTTCTATATATTCAAAGACCCCTCAAATAACGTTAAAGGCAAATAACAAACGGGAAGAATGTATTTATGACATAGATGATGGGTAAACTTTAGTACTCATGTAATTAATATTTTGATTCTTACAATGAAGTAAGAAATAGATAAACAATCCAATAGAAAGGTAGGCCAACATGTTACCTGAACCATTACAGAGGAAGGAAACATAGCTAGTAAATATACAAAAAGATGCTTGATTTCATTGGTAATTAGGGAAATATAAATTAAGACACTAGCAAGATAGCATTTATATCCACTATATTTTCAAGAAGCAAAAATATGACAATAACAAATGTTGATGAGGATGTGGAGACTTAACAAATTTACATTGCTAGTGGGAGTGTAAATTTATATAATTGTTTTGGAAAATAATTTGTCATGACCTTGTAAAGGTGAACATGCACATACTCTGTGACCCAGTAATTCTACTCCTAGGTAGAGAAACTTGTACATGTGCCCCAGAAGACAAACAAGATTATGTGTAGGGAAGGAGGAGGGAGGGAGGGAGGGTAAAGAGGGAGGGAGGAAGGAAAGAAGGAAAGATAAAGGGGAAGGGGAAAGGGAGGGGAGGGGAAGAGACAAGAGGAGAGAAGGAAAGAAGAGAGGGTGGGAGGAAAGAAGAAAGGAAGGGAAAAAAGAGAAGGAGGGAACAATGTCCAGAGACAGGAGGATAAATCATGATATCTTACAGAGTTGAACATTATACAATTAAAAAATGAATAAACTGCAGCTCAACCAACACTGATATGAATTTTCTGGTTTTTTTTTTATTTTTTTTTGGAGACAAATTCTCACTCTGTCACCCAGGCTGCAGTGCAGTAGCAATAGCACACAGCTCACTGCAGCCTCGACCTCCCTGGATCAAGTGATCCTCCCACCTCAGCCTCTTGAGAATCTGGGATCACAGGTGCACACCACCATGCACAGCTATTAGGCTGGTGCAAAAGTGTTTCCATTTTTCCATTATTTTTATAGATATAGGATCTCACTATGTTAGCCCAGGCTGGTCTCAAACTCCTGGGCTCAAGCGACCCTCCTGCCTCTACTTCCTAAAGTGTTGGGATCATAGGTGTGAGCCACCACGCTCAGCCTCTTCTTGATATTTTCAATATATATATGTATTTTTTGAGACAGAGTTTTGCCCTCATTGCCCAGGCTGGAGTGCAATGGTGCGATCTCCACTTACTGCAACCTCCGCCTCCCGGGTTCAAGTGATTCTCCTACCTCCACCTTCCAAGTAACTTCGATTACAGGCATGCACCACCATGCTCAGCTAATTTTGTGTTTTTAGTAGAGATGAGGTTTCTCCATGTTGGTAAAGCCGGTCTTGAACTCCCGACCTCAGGTGATCTGCCCACCTCGGCCTCCCGAAGTTCTGGGATTACAGGTGTGAGCCACTATGCCCGGCCTTCAGTATTTTTTTTTTTTTTTACAATGAACAAATATTCCTTTTATATAAAAGAAGTTAGGCTGAGCATGGTGGCTAATGCATGTAATTCTAGCACTATGAAAGGCCAAGATGGGAGAATGACTTAAAGTCAGGAGTTTGAGACTAGCCTGGGCAACATGGTGAAACCCTGTCTCTATGAAAAATACAAAAATTAGCCAGGCATGGTGCCATGCACCTGTTGTCCCAGCTACTTCCGAAGCTCAAGTGGGAGAATCACCTAGGCCCAGGAGTCTGAGGTTTCAGTGAGCCATGATCACATACCACTGCACTCCAGCCTAGGTGACACAGTGAGACCCTGTTTCAGAAAAAAAGAGAGAGAGAAAGAAAGAGAGAAAGCAAGAAAGAAGGAAGGAAGGAAGGAAGGGAGGGAGGGGACAAAGAAAGGAAAAGACAGAGGAGAGAGGGAGGGAGAGAGAGAAGGGAAAGGAAGGGAAGGGAAGGAATGAGAGAAGAGGGGAGGGGAAGGGAGGGGAGGGGAGGGGAGGGGAGGGAAAAGAAAGAAAGAATTATCCTAAAAGGAGATATATATATATATAGATAGATAGATAGATAGATATGGTTGGATTGAAAGTGTATGTTAGCAAACACATATTGAGTGCCAACTATGTTGTGGGGTCTGTGATTAATGAAAGTTTGCAGAGATGGTAAAAAAATTCCCTGCCCTTGCATAGCTCTCAGTCTGAAAGACATGTGAAGAAACCTGATTTCAGGGAAATCACAGAAAGAGGAAAAATTAAGGAATGGCAAAGTTTTTTTCACAGATATTTGTCCTGGGCCATTAGTCTGGAAAGCAACCCAAGTACCAGGAAAACTGATAGATTCCAGGGACAAGGTCAAATAGGATTCCAATACCTAGGAGGGACTCTGGATAGTAGAGGCCACTTAATTACCAGTGACTAAGAATATGGATTGGACTATGAACAAGAATAATCCAGGAAAGGGAAAGGAAGAGGAAGGACTGCAGAAATCCTGAGGACTGAGGTGACCTCTGCCCATCTAAGATGAGTCAGAATTCTGTATCAGTGGGCTGAGGGTGGTGGCTCATGCATGTAATTTCAGCACTTTGGGAGGCCAAGGCATGCAGTCACCTGAGGTCGGGAGTGACCAACATGGAGAAACCCCATCTCTAACTAAAAATACAAAATTAACTGGGCATGGTGGTGTATGCCCATATCCCAGCTACTCTGGAGACTGAGGCAGGAGAATCGCATGAACCCAGGAGGCAGAGGTTGCAGTGAGCTGAGATCATGCCAATGCACTCCAGCCTGGGCAACAATAGTGAAACTCCATCTCTAAATAAATAAATAATAATGAAGAATTCTGTATCAGCCACTCCTGCACAAAGCCTGTCCCCATGACCTGCCCTACCTTCCTGTAGCCTTGGCACACTGACAGTCTCTCTAAACAACTCACCACGTTTGTATTGCCAAGGATCTTTTCTTTTTTTTTTTTTAGAAACAGGGTTTCACCATGTTGGTCAGGCTGGTCTCGAACTCCCGACTTCAGGTGATCCACCCGTCTGGGCCTCCCAAAGTAACTGCTGGGATTACAAGCATGAGCCCCCACATCCAGCCTGGATCTTTTCTTTTTTAAATAACTTTGTTGAGATATAATTCAAGTACCATACACTCCACCCATTTAAAGTATACAATTCAATAGCTTTTAGTATATTCACAAAGCTTTGTGTCTATTACCACAATCAATTTTTTTTTTTTTTTTTTTTGAGACAAAGTCTCACTCTGTCACCCAGGCTGGAGTGCAGTGGTTCAATCTTGGCTCACTGCAACCTCCGCCTCCCGGGTTCAAGCTATTCTCCTGCCTCAGCCTCCTGAATAGCTGAGATTACAGGTATGTGCCACCATGGCCCGGCTAATTTTTTGTATTTTCAGTAAAGACAGGGTTTCTCCCTGTTAGCCAGGATGGTATCAATCTCCTGACCTTGTGATGCACATGCCTTGGCCTGCCAAAGTGCTAGGATTGCAGGCATGAGCCACTGTGCCTGGCCATCACCGCAATCAATTTAAGAATATTTTAATGATCCTTCCTCCATTCCCTGGACACTGTAATTCTACTTTACGAGTCTACAGATTTGCCTGTTGTGGACATTTCATTTAAGTGAATCATACCATATGTGATCCTTTGTGTCTAGCTTATTTCACTTACTATAATATTTTCTTTATTTTTATTTAAAAATTTTATTTAGAGACAGGGTCCTGCTCTGACAGCAAGGCTGCAATGCAGTGGCATGATGAGAGCTCACTGCAGCCCCAAACTCCTGGGCTCAAGCAATTCTCCTGCCTCAGTCTCCCAAGTAGCTAGGACTACAGGTGCACACCACCACACCTGGCTAATTTTTTTTAATTAGAAAATAATTTTACTTTTTTTTTTTTTTGAAACAGGGTCTCATTCTGTCACCCAGGCTGGAGTGCACTGGTGAGATCCTAACTCACTACAGCCTTGGCTTCCCATGCTCAAGTGATCCTCCCACCTCAGGCTCCTAAGTAGCTGGGGCTACAGGCACATGCCACCATGCCCAGCCAATTTTTGTATTTTTTGTAGTGATGGGGTTTTGCCATATTGCCCATGCTGGTCTCAAACTCCTGGGCTCAAGCGATCTTCCTCTCAGCATCCCAAAGTGCTGTGATTACAGGTGTGAGCCACTTACCATAGTATTTGTTAAGGTTCATCCATGTTGTAGCATGGATCATTGCCAAGGATCTTAAAGAACCAATGTAGTAGGAGGAAAGGCACAGCCCCAAGAAGAAGCCCTGACGCCTGGCATGGCAGAAACACACACACACACACAAACAGACACACACACACACACACACACACACACACACACACAAATACACACTCTCTCTCTCTCTCTCTCTCTCTCTTTCAGAAATTACTAAGTGGAGATATACGCAGAGTCTATAAAATCTAGAATAATATGGAGGATGAACTTTGACTTGGTCACCAAATCTGGGAATGGTAAGATGAGAAATCAAGGCTTAATTAATTTAATTCGCAAAATACATCTTTGCATGAGATGCCACCGCACCCACTGGAAAATCATTTCCTGACATCAGAAATATCAAGAAGCTTAATGAAGACAAAGATACATATCTTAGATTGTAACAGGAATTGCTGCTCCCAGGCAGCCCCCAAATGCCAAATGTTTGCTCTGCACTCTCCTCGGCTGGAGTCCCCTGTGCTACCTCCATGGCTCAGACTGCTCACCTGGGCTTTGCTGCCACCTAGGATCTTCCATGGTAATTATTTTGATCAAAAAGCCACAATGCATTCCACTTGAGAACAGCAGCGTTTGACAGGTGAAATGAGCCCTTCCCAACTCGTGTGGATTGTTGCTCTAGCTGTGACCTCTTGCCCGATGAGCGTGCACTCATGTTGTAGACAGCTGGAAGGTAACTGCTGGATATTTTACATTGCTGAGGAAGTTACAAGGTATGGCATCCATTCCAGCACAGAGAGGTCTACAAATCCTCTGGCCCTAACCCTAAGTGTGTGAGGAAGTCACCTTTGGTAAAGCACTGACCAGCTGCACCTCCCGCACTATCTACACAGTCTGACCCAGTTGGAGAGAGAAAGAGGGCAGTCTCCACTAAGCTCCTGGACGGTGCTTTGTTCCCCTTTCCTGCTACCATCCTTCCTGCACCCTCTCTAGTTCTCTGCTCAGCCCAGACTTGGTTGCTTCTTGATTCCAAAGAAAATGGGAAAAGAAACACTGTGTTACCTGATAGACAACAACCATCAACCTGCTTCTTCCATTTACCCCTCCTCTGTCCCCTCAACCCAACATGCACCACCAACCCCATCATATTTTTTCAGAGACTGGCAGGCCAAGCTTCCCAAGGACTAAACTTACTCAAGGGTTACTGCAGGATAGTCAAATCCTGTTGAGGGGGAGCTGGTGCACAGAGAAAACTCTGGACTTGAAGCCAAGAGTCCTGGGTTCAAGTCACACCTGTGCCTTTTACCGTTCTTGAGACTGAAAAAATCCCTTACCTTCCTTACTATCTGTACGTGAATCCTCACATGACAAGCAGCAGTAATGCTCTTTTCCTCTTCTTTCTCACAACCTGGTTGAGAAGCACAAAATGGAAAATAAGATAATTCAGATGATGGATCATTGCCAAGGATCTTGAGGAACCAACGTATGATCATTCAGATGATGTGTGAAATCATAAAACACTGTATCAGGTATTGCTGTTATTTTCTAGAAGCTCTCCTATTCTACAATATTAGCAAAGAACAAATTCTATCTTCCCTGCCCCTACTGAGATACTGATCCACCTTAGAGGGAAGGATACTGTCCCTTTTGGCTCTGGGATACATCTCATCAGGCCCATGCTTCTGCCTTAATCAACTATTCTCTCCGTGGACAGCATATCGGGTTAGCTACAAAGTGTGAAGACAAAGGAAAGATGCTTCTCTACATGGGAATTTCAGTTGCCCAGCATTCCTAGAAATGAAGAAACTACCCCTGTCCTCCACCATCTGCAGAGGAGTCAGTAAGCTAAAAGGGGTTCAGTGGGAGGATTCAGAATTACTCACATTTGCTTAAATAAGGTAGAAGGGGCTGACCCCTAGCATATCCTGCCCACACTGCTGGCCCAGGCCCTGGGCTTCGTTGCTGGGCACTGAGGCTTGCATTGCTGCTAACAGACTCTGCACTGTCAAGGGCTAAAGGGGGCATACTCTAGAAGGGGCCCATGTTTGGATCCCTCTAGGGTGGGGGACGGGGTGGGATTGGCTCAGGCGAGAGCACGCACTTTCTGAGAAGGATCCAAACATGAGGGAATCCTCAGGGGTACATTACAAAGCTATCCCTGAACACCAAGCCTGAGTCTGATGCCCCTGAGGCCCACTTAGGAAAGGATGCACACCCAAACATCTACACTAACAAGAACTGGGAGCAGAATACTAGCCAAGATCAACATCCCCAGGCCTATCTGAGACGCTCAAGCACACAGTCTTCCATTCACCCCCTCTCCAGCCCCACCATGACAGTTCCATCCACCCCACCACTCCATTGACCCAGGACCTTCCTCTTCAACATCCTGACACATTGTAATCAATATGCCAAAGCTTCAGTAACTTCACACTGTGTAAAAGAAAAGGCCCGCGCTGCACAGCCTGGCACTCAAGACCCCCAACCCCATCTCCCCTGAATCACCTCTGAGCGTCAGCTCCCATCTTACACGTCACATTGTGCATCTTTTACTTCAGCTGAGCCGCTCTATTCACTGTGCCCCATGTTGGCCCTCACTTTCTTACTTCACACTCAGGCCCCATGTGTCCTATCATTGGGACCATCTTCTCCACCACCAGGCCTCTAGGCCTTATTCTTATCCCTTTTCCTCAAGCCTAAGCTGGGTTTTCCCTCTTTAGATACCCTTTTCTTGCACTTGGAATCAGGAATCCACAGTGTAGAACTGGAGTGTTTTTAACCTTTTTAAATTTAAATATAACACATGTCCAGAAAATTATACAAATCATAAGCTCAATAAAATCAATGAAGTGAACACACTCATGTAACCACCCCCCAGGTGAAGAAACAGAATGGTACTAGCACCCCAGAAATCCTTCTCAATCTCCCTCCCCACATCTCAGTGGTAACCATTATCCTGATTTCTAGCACCATGGATTAGTTTTGCCTGTTTTGGAAATTCATATAAATGAAATAATATAATCATATAATCTTGTTTTGTGTCTGACATCTTTCACTCAACGTTATAGATGTGAAATTCAATCATGCTGTGGTGTGTGACTCATTTTTATTGCCATACATTTCATCATTTCATTTGTGGTTATTTTGCCTCTGGGCAGATTTTTAAGTTCTGTAGCAACAGGGATTTTTTTCATAAAATTATTTTGGAATCCCCCTAATGCCTAACTGGAAAAGCAAAAGTTGCTCAGTACATATGAATCTTAGTCCAAAAAGCTTCTAATTTCAATCTCACATTATATACCCCCATGAATAGGCAATAGTATCTAATAATTTTGACAATTTCTTTGTTTCACATCTCATACTCAATCCATTAGCAAATCCCACTGCTTCTACCTTTATGTACTGTATGTCAAATCCAACCACTTATCACCATCCCCATCACCCTAGTTCAAGTCACTAACATTGTAGAAGAATAGATAATGAAGTAAAAAGAGAATGTTGCAAAATAGTATAAACAATATCAGCCTTTTTTTTTTTTTTTTTTTTTTTTTTTTTTTTTTTGAGATGGAGTCTCACTTTGTTGCCCAGGCTGGAGTGCAGTGGCACCATCTCAGCTTACTGGAAACTCTGCCTCTCAGGGTCAAGCAATTATCATGCCTCAGCCTCCTGAGTTGCTGGGAGCACAGGCATGCATCACCATGCCTGGTGAATTTTTGTATTTTTAGTGGAGACAAGGTTTAGCCATGTTGGCCAGGCTGGTCTCAAACTCCTGACCACAAGTGATCCACCTGCCTCTGCCTCCCAAAGTGCTGGGATTACAGGTGTGAGCCACCACACCCAGCTGATCCCATTTTTTAAAGACATATATTAACACATAGATAAAAGAATATATTAATGAAAATACTTATTGTAGTGATTTCTGTGTGCTGGGATCTATTCTTTCTTATATAATTTTCTAATTATGTTTTATATTATTGTGGTAGATAGGTCAATCATCGAGCCCCCCACCCAGACCCCTAACTGCAGCAGTCCTACATATGAGTTGGCTGCCCATCTGATTGGGTCACAGGTAGGCAAACAACCCAGGAGAAACCAAGCCAAAGGCAGGGATAAATGCAGCAGATTTCCTCAAGAAATTGAACTAAGAGGCACAGAAACTATGGTAGATACCTGTTGTTTTAAACATTCTTTCCTATTTTCTTCTACTAACCACTACCTCAATCCCTTTTAGGCAGCAGCTCCTTCCCCATTACATAAACCATGTGATTCTAATGGGACTATATAGTATCACAATACAAAGCCAATATCACAATATAAAGCCAAAGTTCAGGAAAGGGAACGGGATCTATTATAATATCCATCACCCAACCCTAGCGACTGATCCAGAGTGACCATCCAACCCAAGGCAGGCCAAGGGTTCCTCCTTTAGAATCCATATGCTGGAGCAGAGTTAGGAAAAGCTCTGTCCTCTGGGCTCAAAAGCTATGATGATGTAACCCTGAGCTGCCAGTAGCCATGCCCAGCCTCACCCTTCCACTGCTACATGGAAAGAGCCTTTCTGTGGTCTGGATTCATGAGGACAACACGCAAATAGAGATGCAGCTAAGAGACAGAGATAGCATTTGGACAGTATTGTGTATGACTGGATCAGTCATGCCTGAGGCTGGCCAACAATATCCTTCCTGATTGTACAAACCAAAAAAATTCTTTGTTTTTCATAAATTCATTTAAATTATGGTCTTCTACAGTCATGAGAACTCTAACAAACACAGAGACTAATTAGTAAGATGCTGGTAGGTGCTTTTCTGCAAAGTTGTGTAGAGTTGGGGCTGGAGTAGGTGCCAAACCAAACCAAAGCAATCCCCAAGCTGAAGTCATAAGGGAGCAAAGAAACCATCAGTGATAAGAGAGACCTTGTTTCAAAGAGAAGTGTAACAGTAGCTTAGACTCAGAAGCAGGTAATGACAAAGGGAACACTGGCCCCCTGGAAAGGGTAGTGGAGCCTGAGCTGCTGACTTTCTTGTTCCAGTTTCTGTGTGCCTTGTTCCTATTCTTGGATGCCCATGAGAGACTGCCTGATGTATTGTTTCTACAATCTTACACACACACATGCGTGCACACACACACACATGCGTGCACACACCCCACTTTAGTCAACTATCTTGAGTAAGCCTCTCTTCTGTAAATTCAAAGTATCAATTAGTAAGAAAACAGTGTCCATATATCATTTTTCTCATCAGAAAGTTATTTTTAAGATCTAAAGCAAACTTTTACTCTATTTAACATAAATGACCTTTATATATTTAGAGATTAAGGCACAAATTCACTATAAAGGTCAATGACCTTAGGACAATTTCTGTACAAGGACAATACTTCCAGAAAGTTTAAGGCTGCCAACCTTATTCTGCTTTAACTCCAGTCACTCCCAAGTCTGCCTTCCCTTACCTGAGCATGGTAATGGGTCTGGCAACAGGCTAATTTTTTTTTTTTTGAGATGGAGTTTTGCTCTTGTTGCCCAGGCTGGAGTGCAATGGTGCAATCTTGGCTCACTGCAACCTCCGCCTCCTGGATTCAAGCAATTCTCCTGCCTCAGTCTCCTGAGTAGCTGGGATCACATGCATGTGCCACCACGCCCGGCTAATTTTGTATTTTTAGTAGAGGCAGGGTTTCTCCATACTGGTCAGGCTGGTCTCGAACTCCCGACCTCAGGTGATCCGCCGCCTAGGCCTCCCAAAGTGCTGAGATTACAAACATGAGCCACTGCACCTGGCCGCAACTGGCTGATTATAATAGGTGATAAGGATGGGTATTTTTCAGGCCCAACCAACAATTTTATGATGTACTAGCAATGCTCATGAGGATGTCACCAATAAGTTGGTTTTTCTTTTTTTCTGTAAGTACTGGTTTCACTATATAATTGCTCTTTTATATTGGCCATCTCCCCCTCCCCATAATCATATATGATCACAGAAACAGAATTTTGACAATGGAAGGACCCTAGTCCTATAACCTCTTCATGTCACAGACAGATGTTAAGTCTAACACAGGTTAAATGAATTACCCAGCGTAACAAACTATTGAAGGTAAAAACTCCAGCTCTCTTGACCAGAACAGTATAGAGAAGAAAATCAATGTAAGCTAGTGGTGCTAGCTTACATTTAATCTCACATCTTTCATGAATCCCATGATTCATGAAAGATGTGAGATTAAAATCAAGCCTTAGCCTTTCAATAGAGGGCAATGAGTACCAGACTGTGAGGAGAAAGAGCCAGGTACTGGGTCAGACTATGCCTTATCAGTATCTGTGACTCCCTGAAGGTAGAAACTAGGTTTTATTCATCTTGGTATTCCCAATGCCCAACATCATAACAGAGACATGAAAGAAATTCAATAAATAAGTGAATAAGGAGTGGGTGAGTAAGTAAGCAAATAGATAGGAAACCTAATACTCTGGAGAAGTCTATGTCGAAAAGGGGTAAAAAAGGGGCCGGGTGCTGTGGTTCATGCCTGTAATCCCAGCTACTGAGGAGACTGAGCACAGAGATCCCTGAGCCCAGCAGTTTAAGACCAGCCTGGGCAACATGGTGAGCCCTCATCTCAAAAAATGGAAATAGAGCCTTGGTGAAAGCCTTCAATTACAAGCAAACCAACAGAAAGCCAGTGGTACAGGATTAGCAAGCAGGGGAGAATAATCCAAGATGTAGGTATGTCAGCAGTGCCTAAAACTAGGAAAAGATTATGAAACATGAGAGTGAAGGAAAAGTCATTGGAAAAAAAAATAAGGCTAAATGTCTATTACTAAGCAAGACTAGCAGCATATTTTGGCTAGGCAAGAGTCTGGGTTCCAGTGTGGCTGAGACGAGCAGACAACATCCATTCCCCGCCTGGCACTACCGGCACGTTTCCTGAACCCACCCCTCAGAGTATCTGCTTACATTAGTGCCTCTATTTCTGCAGCACGTAGAGATAAGAAGAATCCTTTTATATCTATTTGCATATACCAAATTACATTAAACATTGGGATTCTCCCAGGGGTAAAAAGGGACTGGAACTCTGATCCTCATTTAAACTCAAGGATATAAAAATAGGTCTGATGAATGCAAATGCCCCTAGTCTGAGGTTAGGTTGCAAGAAAGGATTGTGGAGCCCCTAAGAGGAATTCACCACAAGGGTAGGACTCTGAACTGGTGAGCTGTGCTCAGTTCCATCCTGGCAGTGTAGAGAATCAGTGAATGTGTGGGCATGTGAATTGATGGACCTCTTTCATGAAAGGCTCTAATACTTTGGGACACAGTCCATTTTACTCTAGGGTCCCATAGCTTTCTGAATTCCCAGCATAGTTAACAGCAGGCCTGTAGTTTCTAGAAGTGGCAACAGTAACAGTGGCCCCTGGCTTCTTTACTGGTGGTGGCAGAGACCCTTGAGGTGATCAAGACCAGCTGTTGTGGTGACTCAGCCCCCAATACCTATCAAGCACCCTCCTGGAACACAGTAGACCAAAGATACTCAGTAAAAGCAGCACACCTGAATGACTGAATTCAGAGAAGCATTTAGGATAAATTGATATCAAAGTCACTGCAAAAATTGAGTAGCAATCCAAGAACCTTCAAAGTGTCATTCCTCATCTCTTCCCTGTGAGAAAAGAAAAATAGCTGAGAGCAGTCTAAGTTCTGTGAGGCATGCAAATTTATCAGTCCCAGGGAGACATGAGTGTGGGACCTCAGTCATGCCCACTGTCCCCCGCCATTCCCAGGGCTAGGGGCAAGTGTTTAAAGGTGTTTTGGTCTTGACAAGCTACCTCACCTATTATCTTCATGTTCCTGGCATTTGTGATACAAAGAACAATGTACAGCTAAATAATAGCTTATGTTATTTCGATGTAACTTCTTAGCAAACAACTTAGGAACTCCCTCTTCTTTAAAAACTCACGTGTAACTGCTGCTAACTAATCTTAGCATATAGTCAGGGCAACTTGAATCTATGCACCCAAATTGTAGTCCTCAAATCTGGCCCAAGTAAACTCCCTACTTTTATTAATTTTGTCTCAGTCTTTGTCCTTTAGGTCAAAACCTGGGTCCTGGACCTCAGTTCACTAGATTAGGTCAGGACCAGCGGGTTAGGAGAGAGACGGTCTCACATTCCATCAGCCCTGGCCTTAAATGTCAAGAAGAATAGTGCCAGGCCAGACCCAGTGGCTCACACCTATAACCCACTTTGGGAGGGCAAGGAAGGTGGATCACCTGAGGTCAGGAGTTCAAGATCAGCCTGGTCAACATGGTGAAACCCTGTCTCTACTAAAAATACAAACCTTAGCCAGGTATGGTGGCAGGCACCTGTAATCCCAGATACTCAGGAGACTGAGGCAGGAGAATCACTTGAACCTGGGAGGAAGAGGTTGCAGTGAGCCGGGATTGCTCCGTTGTGCTCCAGCCCGAAACAAGAGCAAAACTTCGTCACAAAAGAAAAGAATAGTGCCAGGGATGCGAGCACTGCTAGCCTCTAAGCACCTTAAGGCACTGATGCCGCTGCATTTGCACATCTCAGCCTGGCTATGCAGAGGCTGACAGGCAAGTGCACATCTGCATCTTATCTTACCACTTAATAAACATTGATTGACACTTCCTCCATCTTAGGCATTTTTGGTAGATGCTGGAACACATTAGAGAACAAATCCAGTCCTTGCCCTCCAGGCATTTATAGTCTAGAGCAGAAGCTTCAGAGTGTTCTAGGAAAACCCTTCAATTATACAAGAAATTGTGTGCCTACATAGATTGAGAGGGAAGTGGGAAGAGTCAAATTCTCAAATGGCTTTGTGACCTAGAAAAGGTTAAGAGCCTCCTAGTTGGGACCATCCATATCCCTCATATCTAAATTCTTAGCAAGTATCCCAGCACTTACTAATAACACGTCTTGGGCATCTCTAACCTTTTGCAGCGTTCATGATGCCTTCCTCACCAGCTCGTGGCAGACTCCTGGTGGAAGAGGAGGGAAGCACACCTCATTATTGACATTGCCTCCTAGTTCCTGGGGAGCTCCCTTCCAGAAAGGAATTTTCCAGGGAGTGGCTGTCCCGGCTCTTTTGAATAACTTTGGGCCCATCCAGCGGACAAACCATTGCCTATTCCCTGGCAGGCAGACTGACGAGGGGACACGTTTCCCCTGCTAAAGTACTGCTTGCTTCCCAGGACTTCTCCAGACTCAGCATCCACTGACTGAGATGAAATAAGACATTTTTCTCTTCCAAAGGATCAAAGGGATCTCAGCAAGGTCTGGACTAAGAGAAAGAGGGCTGAGTTGTGAATACATTGGGAAGAGCATTTTGGTCTAACAGTCTTATTTCACATCCAAATTAATAACATGTCACTCTTGAGAACATTTTTGTTAATGACTCCTCAAAACACAACCCACCCACCCAGACCGTGAGCCTTCAAAGACAGGGACAGATCCCTGGCCTCCCCTTGGATGGCACTACCATTCTCCTCCCAGATGTTTTACTAGCCTGCTAATTTTTGTAAGGTATAATAAAACATATTTAAGGGAGAAAAAAATGTGCTAGACTGTTTTAATGAGCTTGAGTATCAATATTTTTGAAAATGTAATATCAAGAAGCCAGGGAAAGTTGTTTTTTAAATTACCTGCAATTTTCTGATTCAATTTTTGGAGGAGACTTTGTTGTTTGTTTGCTTTTGAGAAACACTTCAATGGCTTTATGCCAGTAAAGCCAAAATCATATTCTCAGTAGCTTAAGACCATGCTGAGCTACACAGCTCTCCTTCATGACGTTGAAACTACCTGTACTGTGGGAAGAGATCCATCTCTCCAGGGTAGGATGTGTCTTGAGAAATGAGTCTGGGGCCACCATGGGGTTTTCCCTTCTCATTGGGCCTCCTGATCAGGATCCAGCACCTGGCGGTGGGGAGGGGGGGTTCTAGCAAATGGACCAGAGACAGACATGAGCAAAGTCACTCCGTGGCAGATGGTAAGTCTCAGGATAATGTGGCAGCAGAATGAAGAATGCACAGTGTGAGAGAAAAAAACAAAATACCCTGTGCAGATGAATGAATGGAACAATAACCTCCTATATCTCATTCTGTGGATTTTTTCCCCTCTTTCCTACACAATCCCCTCCTGTTATTCCAAAGCTTTCAATGAAGCAGGTATTTCAGCTGATCTCTTACATATCTGGCAGATAATGGCGGGGCCTATGTCTGCACTTGGGATGAGGGGGGTGGGGAAAGCAGGAACAGCTGGAGAAGCTCATCACAAGATGGCCAGAAGTGACCAGAGGAACCCCAGAAGCAGCAGGGATCTGCAGGAAATGTAAGCATTCTCTGAGGATTACATGTGAGGGGATCCAGGAAACTGCTAAACTTGCAGTGGCTGATCATCATGAGGGCTTAGACTAGTAATTTTAAGCACTAAAGGAAAGGGTGGCTTTTATAAACCAAAAAAATCAGACTTTGGAGTTAGTTTCTTAAACTGTGCCAAAACAATTCATGGCCAGATGTTGTGAATGTTGTGAACAGTAAGATGCAAAGGAATTTAGAATAAGGAGGGAGGCTTAATGGAGTTCTTCCCCTTGATGACTGGGAAGGCTTTATGAAAGAGGAATTTGAACTAGATCTTGAAAAAGGGGATCTTAGAAAGGGAGAGGAGGAGAAGAGTACTCCTTTAGGATAAATGGAAGAGCAAAAGCATGAAGGTGTCCAAGTGAAAGATGTGCTTTTTTTTTTTTTTTTTGAGATGGGATTTCACCATGTTGACCAGGCTGGTCTCGAACTCCTGACGTCAGGTAATCCGCCCTCCTCGGCCTCCCAAAGTGCTGGGATTACAGGCATGAGCCACCGCGCCTGGCTGGAGGATGTGCTTTAAGCAGAGAACAGTCCTGTCTGACTGAGGATAGATGCTATATTCTTGAGCATCCATCCTTCATACTTCATCTTGTCAAATGCTCAGAGACATTTGAACCAGAGCAACTCCATCTTGAGTAGGGGCTGGATAAAATAAGGCTGAGATCTGCTGGGCTGCATTCCCAGGAGATTAAGGCATTCTGAGTCACAGGATGAGAGGAGGTCACCTCATGATACCAGTCATAAAGACCTTGCTGATAAAATAGGTTGCAGTAAAGATGCCAGCCAAAACCCACCAAAACCAAGATGGCGATGAGAGTGACCTCTGATCATCCTCACTACTACACTCCCACCAGCGCCATGACAGTTTACAAATGATATGGCAACATCAGGAAGTTACCCTAAATGCTCTAAAAAGGGAAGGCATGAATGATCCTTTCCCTGTTTAGCATATAATCAAGAAATAACCTTAAAAATGGGCAACCAGCCCTTGGGGCTGATCTGTCTATGGAGTAGCCATTCTTTTATTCCTTTACTTTCCTAATAAACTTGCTTTCACTTTACTCTGTAGATTCGCCCTGAATTGTTTCTTATGTGAGATCCAAAAACCCACTCTTGGGGTCTGGATCCTGACCCCTTTACAGGAAAAATCTTACTTTAGGACTCATTCTTTTTTTCTGAGACAAAGTCTCACTCAGCCTCCCAGGCTGGAGTGCAGTGGGACGATCTTGGCTCACTGCACCCACTGTCTCCCGGTTCAAGTGATTCTTCAATCTCAGCCTCCTGAGTAGCTGGGATTACAGGCACCCACCATCATGCCAAACTAATTTTTGTATTTAGTAGAGACAGGGTTTCGCCATATTGGCCAGGCTGGTCTTGAGCTCCTGACCTCAGGTGATCCACCTGCCTCGGCCTCCCAAAGTGCTGGGATTACAAGCGGAAGCCACCGCACCAGGCCCATTCTTTTTTTTTTTTTTTTTTTTTTTTTGAGACGGAGTTTCACTCTTGTTACCCAGGCTGGAGTGCAATGGCGCGATCTCGGCTCACTGGAACCTCCGCCTCCTGGGTTCAGGCAATTCTCCTGCCTCAGCCTCCTGAGTAGCTGGGATTACAGGCACGCACCACCATGCCCAGCTAATTTTTTGTATTTTTAGTAGAGACGGGGTTTCACCATGTTGACCAGGATGGTCTCGATCTCTTGACCTCGTGATCCACCCGCCTCGGCCTCCCAAAGTGCTGGGATTACAGGCTTGAGCGACCGCGCCCAGCCTCTTTTTTTTTTTTTTTTTTTTAGACAGAGTCTCTCTCTTGTTGCTAAGGCTGGAATGCAGTTGCATGATCTAGGCTCACTGCAATCTCTACCTCCCAGGTTCCAGTGATTCTCCTGCCTCAGCCTCCCAAGTAGCTGGGATTATAGGCACCCGCCACCAGGCCCCGCTAATTTTTGTATTTTTTAGTACAGACCAGTTGGCCATGTTTGCCAAGCTGGTCTCAAACTCCTGACCTCAGGTGATCCACCCGCCTTGGCCTCCCAAAGTGCTGGGATTACAGACGTGAGCCACTGCACTGGGCATTTAGAGCCCATTCTTGAGGCTCAGGGATGGAAATATATTAAGGTGGTTTTCAAGGAACAATGGAAGTTGTTAAGGACATCTTAAGTTAGCTGGTGCTAGCTCTCAGAGAGTTCAGTCATTCCAAAATGACAGGAATTGGCCTAGAATTCACCCTTGGCTTTCTCATGCTCCCTTCTCAGAAGGCAAAAAGTGCCCATGTCTCTCCATCAGCCCTACCCCACAGGCTACTTGATCTGTGACAAAGACTCCACTGGGCAAGAGGCATGTCTTCTCACATTGATCAAAAAATATTCATTCTTCAGCGGGGGGGGTGGGGAGTTGGGGAGAGATAGCATGAGGAGAAATGCCAGATATAGGTGATGGGGAGGAAGGCAGCAAATCACACTGCCATGTGTGTACCTATGCAACAATCTTGCATTTCTTCACATGTACCCCAAAACCTAAAATGCAATAAAAAATAAATAAATAAATAAAAAATACTCATTCACCACCTACTTTATGCTTTGCTAAGCACTGTTCTAGGCACAAGGGCACAGCAATGAATAGGTTAAAGTCTCTGCCCTCATGGAGTTTTCTTTCTAGCAGGGAAGACAAATATCAATATGTAGGTACAACATCAGATAGTCCTATGAATAAAAATAGAGCAATGTAAGGGAACAGAGAATAACAAGGAGGGGGTTCTTTTTTACAGAAGACAGGAGAAGTTCATCTACGGAGGTGACACTGAGCAGAGTCCACAGGGGTGGGGTCCCAGGCTCTGAGATGGGCACTAGTGGATGTGCTTGAAGAACAAGAAGGCCTCTACGGCTGGAGCAGGCTCAACGAGCATGGGAGATGAAGAGGTAGACGGGCAGAGGAAGAATTACCCTGCAGCTCCTGGCCCAGCATGGCCACACACTCCACATGGCTCCTGCCCATGGCCATTACCCCACTGGCCCCAGCTCTGGCCTGCCATTTTTTCCTCAGGCCCTCAGTGAGACTCATTAAACTTTATCCTAAGTTACTGTGCTCTGCAGCTGGGGGAAAAGGGCAAACTTCAGTCCTAAAGTTAGAGCAATCAACAGCCAAGGGATTTGGAAGTGGCTGGGGCCTTGTTATCTTAAGGTTGTAATGAGTCTCAAGAGAAACCCCACAACTTCACTCCAGAGAGGGGAAGTTTCCCTCAGCAGATCCATACTTGGGACTCCAATTTTCAAAATTCCTTAGAAACTGGGAAGCAATCCAAATAAACCAGGCCTACAGTAGATGCACATTGAGTCACAAAGTCTCCCCAGAATGGCTTATACTGAGGCTTTGTTGGGGATGTTGCTGTAATAATCCAGAAGGACTCCTGGGACTGCCTGTGGCTGGGCTCAGTGAATCTCATTACCCACAGCTACACCTTTAGCTCAAGAGGAAAGGACGGGGAAGAGAGACTCCAAGGCCACGTCCATGGGATGATTCACTAGCTGCTACCTCACCACCACAACCCAAAAGCAAGGATCAGAGTCCTCTTATCTAAGAATTTAATAATTTGTTGGGGCTAGAGAAGCAGAAGTTCCTGAGAGCCTGGAAACCCGCTCCAGCTGGGTGACCAGGAAAATCCAAGAGTAAGTAACTGCTTCTCAGCCCCAACGTAAGTTGGGATCTGTTTAAGATAGTTGAGCTGTTGGAAAATAAGGAGCATGGGGCATATCAAAGAGGATACAATATAATCATGCCAATAAATAATAATACCCTGGCATGGTGGCTCACACCTGTAATCCCAGCTACTCGGGAGGCTGAGGCAGGTGGATCACTTGAGCCCAGGAGTTTGAGACCAGGCTGGGCAACATAGGGAGACTCCATCTCTAAAAATCAAAATAAAAACCAAAAAGAAAAATAATAATAGTCAACATTTACTGAACACTTACTATGTACCATTTTAAGCATTTTACATATGTTATTTCAACCTCCAAGCAAATTCTATGAACTAGGTGGTACTATTATAACACCCATTCCACCAAGAAGGAAGCTGAGGCACAGAGACATTAAGGTACTTGCTTCCAAGCTTATACAACTAATTAATGGGAGAGTCAGTGTTTAAATTAAGGCCAGAATCCAGAGTTGGTATCCATAGGTGCTGTGCGTGTGGCACTCTGGAAACTCTCCCATTGCCTAAATAACCTAGATATAGTCAGCACCAACTAATCTTTTGCACGAGTTATTTTTCAGTGTCATAGAAATGTGCCTGCCCAATGTCTTGAAGACTGCTTCTCTGGGAAAAGCCCAGGCTTTTATAAGTGCCAGATTGGTATGAACTCTTCATTCCTAGAAGAATAAAGAGCTGAGCTAAACTCCAGGGTCCCTCCCTGCCTTGTGAGCCTTGTGCTCGGAGTCCTGATGGCATGGCTCTGGGTGAGAGGCAAGGCAAAGGCTAATCCATGGAGGGAGCTTGTGGAGGCCAACAGGTCCACTGCAAACAGAACTTAATCTACATACCCCCTTGGCACCATCTATTGTTTTCAGAGCAGCTGGACACTCTCCAGCTAATTTTTGTTTGTCTGTTTGTTTGTTTTTGTTTTTGTCTTTTTTAGACGATGTCTCGCTCTGTCACCCAAGCTGGAGTGCAGTGGCCCGATCTTGGCTCACTGCAACCTCAGCCTCCTTAGTAGCTGGGACTGCAGGCACTCGCCACCATACCCGGCTAATTTTTGTATTTTTAGTAGAGACGGGATTTCACCATGTTAGCCAGTCTGGTCTTAAACTCCAGACCTCATGATCCACCCGCCTAGGTCTACCAAAGTGCTGGGATTACAGGCATGAGCCACCGTGCCCTGCCTCCAGCTACTTCTATAGGGTCTGGTGAGTTGCAGCTGCCCTGGATCTATCTGAGGAACCATTCTGTTGCCTCCTCTCTCCAATCAAAAGAATAGCCACCCTCCATAGGTGGCTACTACCATCCTAGACAGAGATCACCTATGGAGCTCTTAAGTACAATCAAGGACAAGAAACTGCATGGTCTCCTACAGAAGGACATTCCTACCTCAGCCTCCTGAGTAGCTGGGATTACAGGCGCCTGCCACCATGCCCGGCTAATATTTGTACTTTTAGTAGAGATGGAGTTTCATCATGTTGGCCAGGCTGGTCTCGAGCTCCTGACCTCAGGTGATCCGCCCACCTCAGCCTCCCAAAGTGTTGGGATTATAAGCATGAACCACCACGCCTGGCCTACAAAATTAATTTGTAAAAGATACACTCCTAGATCCAATTCATTAAAATTTCAGAACTCTAAGAGTAGAGAGAAAATTCTGAGAGCTTCCAGAGGGAGTAGGAAAACAGGTTACCAAAAGAAACAAGGTTAAGAAATGATACCAACCTGCTCATCGATAACATTCAATGCTCAAAGACAATGGAATGACATTCATCTCCTTGGTGCTGTTGTCCTTACAGTAAGTGAGTTTTTGCGAGATCTGGTTGTTTAAACATGTGCAGCACCTTCCCCTCTCTCTCTTGCTCCTGCTCCCACCACGTGAGACCCCCTTACTGCCCCTTCACTTTCAACCATGACTGGAAGCTTCCTGAGACCTCCCAAGAAGCAGAAGCTGCCATGCTTCCTATACAGCCTGCAGAACCCCTAACTAAACCTCTCTTATTTATAAATTACCTAGTCTTGCCAGGCGGGGTTTCTCACGCCTGTAATCCCGGCACTTTGGGAGGCTGAGGCGGGTGAATCATCTGAGGTCGGGAGTTTGAGACCAACCTGGACAATATGGTGAAACTCCATCTCTACTAAAAATACAAAAATTAGCTGGGTGTGATGGTGTACGACTGTAATCCCAGCTACGGGCTAGAGTGCAATGACACCATCTCAGCTCACTGCAAACTCTGCCTCCCAAATTCAAGTGATTCTCCTGCCTCAGCTTCCTGAGTAGTTAGGATTATAGGCATGCACCTTCACGCCCAGCTAATGTTTGTGTTTTCAGTAGAGACAGGGTTTCACCATGTTGGCCAGGCTTCTTTTGGATCACTCCTCACCTCAGGTGATCCACCTGCCTTGGCCTCCCAAACTGCTGGGATCACAGGAATGAGCCATAGTGCCCAGCCTGAGATAGGGTCTTGTTGCCCAGGCTGGAGCACAGTGGCATGAACATGGCTCACTGCAGCCTCATCCTTCTGAGTTCAAGCAATCTTCCTACCTCAGCCTCCCATGTAGCTGGGATCACAGGTACCCTCCACCACTTCCAGCTAATTTAAAAAAATTTTTTATAGAGACAGGGTTTCACTTTGTTGCCCAGGCTGGTCTTGAACTCCTAGACTCAAGCAGTCCTCTTGCCTCTGCCTCCCAAAATGCTGGGATTATAGGTGTGAGCCACTGCATTTGGCATGATCCATTTTTTAAAAATCTGTGCTGTATATGTATGTTTATTTGCCCAAAATACATATTCTAAGATGTTAATTATCATATCCAGGTGATAAGCATGCAGGTGATTTTTTTCCTTTCTGTTTTTTTTAGAGACAGGGTCTCATTTTGTCCTCAGGCTGGAGTGCAATGTCATGATCGTAGTTCAGTGTTACCTTAAACTCCTGGTTTCCAGTGATCCTCCCACCTCAGCCTCCCAAGTAGCTAAAACTACTGGCACTGACCTCCACAATTCCTGGCTAAGTGTTTCACTTTTTCTTTTTCTTTTCCTTTTCTTTTTTTGTAAAGACAGTGTCTTGCTGTATCACTCAGTCTGGTCTCAAACTCCTGATCTGAAGAAATCATCCCACCTTGGCCTCCCAAAGTGCTGGGATCACAGGGATAAGCCACCATGCCCAGCCCTTTTTTTTTTTTTTTTTTTTTTCTTGTCTAGACATTCTAAAATTTTCTGTGAAGAACATACATTATTTTACATCAAAAATTTTTTAAAGTTATTTTAATATTTTTCCTTACTAATTCATTCCTCATTCCTTCCAATTGAAACAAGGCCACAAAGGTTCTATTTGTCATTCTTGTCACAACTGAATATTTATTTGGGTGAAAAGCTGTTTGACATCACCCTCAAATCAAAGTGGTCAGGTACAAAGACGTCCTTCAACGCACAGTGATAAGAACACGATTTCACAGCAAAAGGCAGATAAAGAGAACATCACTTGCCAGCTACCTTAGGCAGCAGTGACATCGATTTCTGAAGGAGAGGAGGATCTAAATCATCACAGCCTGACAACAAAGCACAAGCTGAGTTTGTCAGAAGCGTTTTCATTGTCTGGGATGCTCATTTTAAATCCCCCTGGGAAGGCAAAGTTGCTGCTGCTAAATTTTGTAACATCTGAAAATCTGTGACTTTTATGACCATAAAGAACAGTCCTGCAAACCTTGATAAGAAAGTTTGCAACGGCTTCATCATTACAACATATTTAAAGGTGAGAAAACAAAGACAAATGAAGCTGCTAACCCTCTGGTGGAAGTTCCAATCCAAAGCATGTTCATTATCTCAAAGCAAGCAAGAGAGCCATAAAGAATTGTCCTCTCATTTAGAATATTTTGCCTTCTCACCAAAGGCTGCTGTGTATTTCAGAATTCAGAAAGACACTTTACAGGTAACCACAATACATTTCCATCCAATTACACTTTACATTTTTTGGCCTTGACCTGTCTAAACATAATCAGATACTTCTGAGAACTAAAAGCAATTTAGAAACTCAAAATAGTTTTTACTCCAAACTGAAAAATTCTGCAAAGGGAAGTGTTGAAATAATAAGAAAAATGGTAACATTTATTGAACTTTCCAATGTGCCAGACACTATATTAAGTACTTCACACACACTTTTCACAAGTATTCACAAAACCTTATGAAATAGTAATATTATCTCTATGTGGATGATTGTATGTTCTAAATATGGCCACAACAGTATCTCTCATCCCAAATACTTTCCCACAATGTGATCTTGCCACTCCTGCCATCAACAAGTTGGGCCCATGGTCTCCGCCTTTTGAATCCCAGTAGGCTTTAATCACTTGAGTATAGCAGAATGAGGTCATTAACTTTCAAGGCTAGTCAGAAAAGGCCATGCAACTTCTATCAGGCACTCTTGCGATGTTTGTTCTGGGAGAAACCAGACACCACTTAAGAGGCTCTGCTACCAGGATATGGTGGCTCACACCTATAATCCCAGCACTTTGGGAAGCCAAGGCAGGAGGCTTGCTTGAGTTCAAGGCTGCAGTAAACTATGATCATCCACTGAACTCTCTTTCCTTTATAAGAATCCAAATCTCAAACCTCTTTTCTTTACAGGGATCCATCATGGATTCCCGGGCCAGTCAATCCTTCAGATGCCTGCATCCCAGTCAATATCTGAATGCAACTGCACAGGCAAGTTGCAAGAATTTCCCAGCTAAGTCCTTTCTGAAGTCTTGACCCATGTTTTATGCTTGTGTGAGTCTGTTCTTAAATTGCTATAAAGAAAACCTGAGGCTGGCTAACTTATAAAGAAAACAGTTTGATTGGCTCACAGTTTTGCAGACTGTACAAGAAGCACAGTGCTGGCATCTGCTTCTGGTGAGGGCTCAAGGAGCTTACAGTTAGGGTGGAAGGTGATGGGGAGCCAGCACAACACATGTCCCATGAGAATGGGAGCAAGAGAGAAAGAGGAAGGAGGTACCACACTCTTTTAAACAACCATATCTTACATTAACTCAGAGTGAGAACTCACTCATTCCTGTGAAGAGGGCAACAAGACATTCATGAGGGATCTGCCCCCATGATTCAAACACTTCCCGCCAAGCTCCACCTCCAACACTGGGGATTACATTTTGACATGAGATTTGGAGGGGACAAAACAACCAAACCATATCATTCTGCCCTTGCACCCCCCCAAAAAAAAATCTCATGTTCTTCTCACATTGCAAAACATAATCATCCCTTTCCAACAGTCCTGCAAAGTCTTAACTCATTCTAGAGTCAACTTAGTCAAAAGTCCAAAATCTCATTTGAGACTCAAAGCAGTCCACCTTCCATTAATGTGCCTCTAAAATTAAAAACAAGTTACTTACTTCCAAGATACAATCATGATACAGGCATTAAGCAAGCATTACCATTCTAAAAGGGAGAAACTGGACAAAAGAAAGGGGCTACAGGCCCCCATAAAAGTCTGAAACCCAGGAGTGCAATAATTAAACCTTAACTCTCCAAAATAATCTTTTTTGACTCCATGTCCTGCATTCAGTGCACACTGGTACAAGCAGTGGGCTTCCAAGGCCTTGAGCAGAGCTTCACTGCTGTGGCTTTGCAGGGTTCAGCCCCTGTGGCTGCTCACAAGTTGAAGTCTGTTGCCTGCAGCTTTTCTAGGCTGAGCGTTCAAGCTTCTGGGGGCTCTATCGTTCTGGAGTCTGGAAGACAGTGGCCTCCTTCCCACAGCTCCACTAGACAGTGCCCCTATGGGGACTATGGTGGAGTGGGGGTGCTGCAACTTCACATTTCCCCTTGGCACTGCCCTTGTAGAGTTTCTCTGTCAGGGTTGTGGCCCTGTGGCAGGCTTCTGCCTGGGCATCCAAGCTTCCTGATACATCCTCTGGAATCTAGGAAGGAAGCTGCCAGCCTCCTTCACCCTTGCATTCTGTGTGCCTGCAGACTTAGTATCAGGTGGAAACTTCCAAAGCTTACAGCTTATGCCCTCCAGAATGGCGGCTCAGGCTGTACTTGGGGCTCTTTGAGCCACAGCTGTAGCTGGAACAGCTGGGATGTAGGGGTTAGTGTCCCAAGGCTGAGCAGGGCAATGAAGCCCTGGGCCTAGCCCCTGAAACTATTCTTTATTCCTAGGCTTCTGGGCATATGATGGAAGGAACTGTCTCCAAGGTCTCTGAAATGCCTTCAAGGCCCTTTCCCCATTGTGTAGGATATTAGCACTTGGCTCCCTTTCAGTCACACTAATCTTTCTAGGAAGTTGTTGCTCCACAGTCTGCTTTTTCTACCACAGGGATAGGCTGCACATTTTCCAAAATTTTAGGCTCTGCTTCCCTTCTAAATGTAAGTTCCAACTTTAAGTCATTTCTTTGCTCCTGTGTGTGATCACAGGTTGTTAGAAGCAGGCCACCTCTTGAAGGTTTTGCTGTTTAGACATTTCTCCCACCAAATACCCTGAGTCAGCAGTCCCCAACCTTTTTCAGCAAGGTGAAATGGTGACTTGCCAATAAGTTTATGGTGATTTGCTGCACAACTATAACAAGAACACCCCATTTTGCAAATAAAGAAACAGGATTAAAAGTGACTTGCCAAAGCCCTAATCATCATTTTATTCTGCTCTAAATGTGTTAAACATTTTATGCCATGCAGAAGAAATCCTTCTCAAGTTTCATGTCCATTTCAGAATATGCATCGGCAGAACACACTGTCAAAGGAAAATGGACTTCACTGAAGTGGAGGCAATCTATTTCACTTGCATTTTGTGATGAGACCATTTTCTGTTTCCACCTATTCATCCATTAACTGCAATATTTAAAACTGCTTACAAATTACTTGCAGTATTACAACAAGGATAAGTGTCCCCAAACTACTGTAGGCAAGCATCCTAATAAGAGAAATTCCCAGGAGATGACTAAACAGTTATCTCTCTTTCTCTAAAACCACTTCTAGCTGGCTGGATTGAAGTTTCAAAGTTCAGTTCTTTCAGAATATTCTGAAAGCATGAACTCTATGACTAATATCTTGTGAAACTTTAGAGATAAATTTGAAACAAATTTTATACAACTTGGTTTGAAGGATAAAATGTACGTAAAACATAAGTGAGAAAAAACGTAAACGTTTTTGTGAAGTTTTGAAATGCTTGTGTGGATGTACGAGGCCCCGGGTTTTATCTCCAGCACCTCCACACAAAAAAAGAAAAGAAAAGAAAAGAAAGAGAAGTAAAAAACTTAAAGAAAAAATAAAATGTTATCTGAAAGATGTATAAGAGAACGCATAGTATATTAACCCTTCTCAGAGCTGAATCTTTAAATAATTTTTTGATGCAATTCAGCTTTATGCTCTTGAGAAGATGTCATTGTGGTTTGTCATCAAAATAACAGACACTTAAAGATGTTTTCCAGTTCACAGTCCATTCCCCATTCTCTGGGCTGCTCTGGTCATATTTTTACTATATGCCTCTAGACCCCCCTTTCCTCAGTTAATCAAACCAGGATAGAAAACAGACTCTATCTCTTGAGAATCTAGAATTGGGACTCACTGATTCTAGTCATTCTATGCTCTTCACTTCAACAGATATGAAAACCCAGGAAGTGTGGCAGTCATTGGGCAGCAGCCATGTTTGCTGAGGCAGCAAAAGGTAGTTCGCAGACACATGTTCACAGATACAGAGTTCACAGAGCAAAGTGGAAGGAAGCATAAACAAGGTACCAAAAAATCAAAGGAAGAGAGAAAGACAAAGAGAGAGAAAGAGACAGAGAGGGAAAAAAAGGCACAAAGAAAGGCAAGCCTTTTGTCCTCCTTGCTTTCAGGTTCTAGGACTTCTTATGAAACCAGATGCACCTTCTGTCCATGGGATCCAGGATAAACTCTGGTACCCTGTGGTGGCCAGCCTCCAATATGGCCTCGAATGATGCTCACCACTAGTATTCATGCCTTTGTGGAATGCCCACATTGAACAGCCTGGGTAACCAGTAGAATACAGTCTTGGGGAAATGGCAATGCATGACTTCCAAGGCTAGGCCATAAAACCGACAGCAATTTCCACCTTGCTGACTCCTTGCTCAGTCTGGGTACATCCCAGCTGGAAAGAACTGGGGCTTCTTGCCAACAGCCAACACCATCTTGCCAGGCATATGAGTGAGCCATCTTGGAAGCTTTCAGCCCCCATTAAGCTTCCAGATGACTACAGCCACAACCAGCATCTTAACTGCAACCTCATGAAATGCCTTGGGCCAGAACCACCGTTCAGCTACTTCTGAATCCTTAACCCAGAGAAACTATAAGATAAGTGTTTATTATTTTACGACTAATTTCACATATTGAAGTCCTAACCCCCAAAGTGACTGTGTGTGGAGATAGGGCCTTTATGGAGGTGATTAAGGTTAAATGAGGTCATCGGGGTAGAGCTCTAATCCAATAGGGCTGGTGTCCTTATGAGAAAAGGAATACACACCAGAGCTGTATCTCTTCACACATACACAGAAAACAGATCATATGGAGAGGGATGGGGCAAGATGGCAAAAAAGAAGTCTCCACCAATTATATCCTGTGCAGGGACATCAATTTAACAACTATGACACAAAAAGAACACCTTCATAAGAACCAGAAATCAGGTGAGCACTCACAGTACCTGGTATTCACATTACTGAAAGAGGCACTGAAGGGTTGGAAAAACATTCTGGAATAGCTGGTGACACTCCTCTCGCATCCCCTAGCAGCAACTGTGTGGTGCAGAGCACTTATGTGCCCTGGGGAGAGGGAGAGCCAGCAATTGTGAGGCACTGACCTCAGTGCTGCCTTTGTTATAGCAGAAAGCCAAACCAAATCACACTCAGCTGATACCCTCCCACAGAGGGAGTATTTAAACCAGCCCCTGCCAGGGGAGAATCACCGATTCCAGTGGTTGTAGCTTCAGTTTCGGAAAGCCTCATGACTGCCAGCTAAAGCACTCTGGCGTCCCAGATAAATGTGAGAGGCAGTCTAGGCCCCAAGGACTGCAACACCTACAGGAACCTTAGTGCTGAACTGGACCTGGAGACAGTGGACTAGGAGGACACGTGACCTACTGAGACACCAGCCAGGGCAGCCAAGGGAATGCTGGCATTGCCCCTCCTCTAAACCCAGGCTACATAGCTTGCAGCTCCAAAAGAGACATCTTCCTTTCACTTGAGGAGAGGAGAGGGAAGGATGGGGAGGACTTTGTTTTGCATCTTGGATACCAGCTCACGAGCAGCAGGATAGGACAGCAGTAAGAGTTGTGAGACCCCCTTTCCAGGCCCTAGATCCCAGACATTTCTAGATACACCCTGGACCAGAAAAGAATCCACCACCTTAAAGGGAAGGGCCCAGTCCTGGTAGGATTCATCACCTGTTAACTGAAGAGTCCTTGGGCCCTGAATAACAAGCAGCAATACCCAGGTACTATGCCAAGGACCTTGAATGAGACACTGAGACTTGCTAGCTTTAGGTGAAACTCAGCACATTCCAGCTGTGGTGGCTATGTGGCAAAACTCCTTCTGCTTGAGAAAAGTGAAGGGAAAAGTAAAAAGGACTTTGTCTTGCACCTTAAGTACCAGCTCAGCCAGAAGGGGTAGAGCACCAAGCTGATTCTTGGGGTTCCCAGTTCTAGGACTTGGTTCTTGGATGGCATTTCTGAACCTGCTCTGGACCAGAGGGGAGCCCACTCCCCTGAAGGGTGAGTCTTAGGCCAGGCAGCATTCGCCACAAGCTGACTAAAGATACTTCAAGTCTTAAGGGAATATTGGCAGTAGTGTGGCATTACTCCCCATCGGCCTGAGGTGGGAGTGGCCACAGGGTGAGGCTCCTCTGCCTTTGGAAATGAGAGGGAAGAGTGGAAACGACTGCATCTTTTTTTTTTTTTTTTTTTTTTTTTTGAGACGGAGTTTCGCTCTTGTTACCCAGGCTGGAGTGCAATGGCGCAATCTCGGCTCACCGCAACCTCCGCCTCCTGGGTTCAGGCAATTCTCCTGCCTCAGCCTCCTGAGCAGCTGGGATTACAGGCACGCGCCACCATGCCCAGCTAATTTTTTGTAGCTTTAGTAGAGACGGGGTTTCACCGTGTTGACCAGGATGGTCTCGATCTCTTGACCTCGTGATCCACCCGCCTCGGCCTCCCAAAGTGCTGGGATTACAGGCTTGAGCCACCGTGCCTGGCTAACGACTGCATCTTGTGGTTTGAGTGCCCATTCAACCACAGTGCAATAGAACACAAGGTAGACTTCTAAAGATTTTTACTGTAGCCACTGGCTCCCAGATATCATTTCTGGACCCACCCTGCGGCTAGGGGCAATGGCTGTCCTGAAGAGAAAGACATAGGCCTGGCTGGTTTTGCCATCTGTGGATTGTAGAGCCCCAGGGTTTTTAGTGAAATAGGTAGTGGCCAGGGAGTGATTATAGCAGGCCTTGGGTGAGACCCAGTGCTGTGCTGGCTTCAGGTCTGACCCAGCACAGTCCTAGTGGTGGTGGTCACAGGAGTGATTGTGTCATTCCACCCCCAGCTCCCAGTGGCCCAGAACAGAGAGAGTCTCTGTTTGTTTGGGAGGAAGTAAGGGAGGACAACAAGAGGCTCTGCCTGGTAATCTACAGAATTCTTCTAGATCTTGTCTAAGATGATCAAAGCAGTACCTCTACAAGTCTGCAAGAACCACAATACTACTGGGCTTGGTGTCCCCCCTAAAACAGATACAACCTAGATCACAACACCCAAGTTCTTTTGAATATCTCAAAAACCTTCCCAAGAAGGACGGACACAAACAAGGCCTGACAGTGACAACTACAATAAATACCTAACTCTTCAATGCCCAGACTTAGATAAACATCTACAAGTATCAAGATGATCCAGGAAAACATGACCTCATAAAATGAACTAAATAATGTACCAGGGATCAATCCTGGAGAAACAGAGATATGTGACTGTATTAGTCCATTTTCACACTGCAATAAAGAACTACCTGAGACTGGATAATTTATAAAGGGAAGAGGCTTAACTGATCCACAGTTTCACATGGCTGGGGAGGCCTCTGGAAACTTAAAATCATGGCAGAAGGTGAAGAAGAAGCAAAACACATCTTATGTGGCAGTGGGGACTGGGGTAATGAGAAACACATTTAAACCATCAGATCTCATGAGAACTTACTCACTATTATGAGAACACCATGGGGGAAACCACAATCACCTCCCACCAGGTACCTCCCTTGACACAGGGGGATTACAATTTAAGATGAGATTTGGGTGGGACACAGAGCCAAATCATATCATTATGTCCCTAGCCCTCCCAAATCTTATATCCTTCTCACATTTCAAAACCAATCATGCCTTCCCAACAATCCCCCAAATTCTTAATTCATTCCAGCATTAACTCAAGTGTCCAAGTCCAGTCTTATCTGAGACAAGGCACGTCTCTTCCACCTATAAGCCTGTAAAATCAAAAACAAGTTAGTTACTTCCAAGGTACACTGGGGGTACAGGCACTGTGTAAGTGTTCCCATTCCAAATGGGAAAAAATGGCCAAAACAAAGGAATCACAGGCCCCATGCAAGTTTGAAACCCAGCAGGGCAGCCATTAAATCTTAAAGATCCAAAATAATCCTTTGACTCCAGATCTCACATCTAGGACACAACGATGCAAGAGGTGGGCTCCCAAGGCCTTGGAGAGCTCAGCCCCTGTGGCTCTGCAGGGTACAGCCCCTCCAGCTGCTTTCATTGGCTGGCATTGAGTGCCCACGGCTTTTCCAGGTACACAGCACAAGCTGTCAGTGTATCTACCATTCAGTGGTTTGAAGGACAGTGGCCCTCTTCTCACAGCTTCACTAGGCAGTGCCCCAGTAGGGACTCAGGGTGGGGGCTCCAACCCTACACCTCCCCTCTGCATTGCCCTAGTAAAGGTTCTCCATGAGGACTCCACCCCTGCAATAGATTTCTGCCTAGACAACCAGGCATTTCCATACATACTCTCAAATCTAGGCTTCTAAAATTCAACTTTTGTCTTCTACATACCCACAGGCCTAATGCCACGTGAAAGTCATGAAGGCTTGGGGCTTTCACCCTCTAAAGTAACAGCCTGAGCTGTACCTTGGCCCGTTTTAGCCATGGCTGGAGCTGGAGCAGCTGGGATGCAGAGTGCCGTGTTCCAAGGCTGCATAGATCAGCAGAGCCCAGAGCCTGGCCCATAAAACTATTTGTCTCTCCTAGGCATCCAGGCCTGTGATGGGAGGGACTGCTGTGAGGATGTCTGAAATGCCCTGGAGACATTTTCCCCCACTGTTTTGGCTATTAACATTCGCTTCTCTTTACTTATGCAAATTTCTGCAGCCAGCTTGAATTTCTCCCCAGAAAATGGGCTTTTCTTTTCTACCAGGTGGTCAGGCTGCAAATTTTTCAAACTTTTATCCTCTGCTTCCCTTTTAAATATAAGTTCCAGTTTCAGACCATCTCTTTGTGAATGTCTATGACTGTTTGCTTTAAGAAAAAAAGCCAGGCTCTCGGCCTTAGCGCCATTTTTTTTGGAAACCTCTGCGCCATGAGAGCCAAATGGAGGAAGAAACAAATGCGCAGGCTGAAGCGCAAAAGAAGAAAGATGAGGCAGAGGTCCAAGTAAACTGCTAGCTTGTCGCACCATGGAGGCCACAGGAGCAGAAACATGGAATGCCAGACGCTGGGGATGCTGGTACAAATTGTGGGACTGCATGCTACTGTCTAGAGCTTGTCTCAATGGATCTAGAACTTCATCGCCATCTGATCGCTTATCACCTCTGAGACCCACCTTGCTCATAACCAAAACTGCCCATGTTGGTCCTTTGCCCTGGACCTGTGACATTCTAGACTATTTCTGTGTTTACTTGTGGCTGAGTGTAACAACCATACAATAAATTACCTCTTCCGCTGTCTTAGCTGAAGAATTAAAAAAAAAAAAAAAAAAAAGCCAGATCACATCTTGAATGCTTTGCTGTTTAGAAATTTCTTCTACCAGACACCCTAAATCATCTCTCTCAAGTTCAAAATTCCACAGATATCTAAAGCAGGGGAAAATGCTTCCAGTCTCTTTGATAAAGCATAGCAAAAGTAACTTTTTCTCCAGTTCCCAATAAGTTCCTCATCTCCATCTGAGACCACCTCAGCCTGGACTTCATTGTCCACACCACTATCAGCATTTTAGTCACAACCATTCAACAAGTCTCTAGGAAGTTCCAAACTTTCTCACATCTTCCTGTCTTTTTCAGAGCCCTCCAAACTGTTTTAACCTCTGCTCATTACCCAGTTCCAAAGTCACTTGACATTTTCAGGTCTCTTTATAGCAGTGCCTCCAAACTCCTGGTACCAATTTTCTGTATTATTAATTGTTTGTTCTCACACTGCTATGAAGAACTACCTGAGACTAAGTAATTTATTTAAAAAAAAAAAAAAAAGAGGTTTAATTGACTCACAGTTCCACATGGCTAGAGAGGCCTCAGGAAACTTACAATTATGGTGGAAGGTGAAAGGGAAGCAAGGCATATCTTACATGGCAGCAGGAGTTGAGGGGACTGCAAAACACATTTAAACCATCAGATCTCATGAGAATTCACTCACTATCACAAGAACAGCATGGGGGAAACCTCCTCCATAATCTAACCACCTCCCACAAGGTTCCTCCCTCAACACATGGGGATTACAATTGGAGAGGAGAACTGGGTGGAGAAAACAAGGAACAAAATGGCAAGAGTAAGTTCTTATCCCCCATAATAACATTGAAGATGTTTTTTCTTTGCTGCATCTACTGAGAGAATGAAGACCATTCTCAGCAATCAGACTGTCAACATTCCAGAAAATGTTGGCATTACTCTGAAGGGATGCACAGTTTTTGTGAAGGGCTCAAAGGAACACTGTGATGTGACTTAATCACGTCAATGCAGAACCCAGTCTTCTTAGCAAAAAAAAAAAGAGGCTCTAGGTTGACAAAGGGCGGGGTAACAGAAAGAAACTGGTTATTATTCTGACTTTTGTAGTCATGCACAGAACATGATCAAGGGTGTTACACTGAGCTTCCATTACAAGATGAGGTCTGTGGATACCCACTTTGTCATCAACATCATTATCCAGGAAAATGGGTCTCTTGTTGAAATCCAAAATTTCTTGGGTGAAAAATACATCCAGTGGGTTTGGGTGAGGGTTTGGGTGAGGCCAGGTGTTCCTTGTTCAGTAACTCAAGTACAAAAAGATGAATTAATCCTTGAAGGAAATGACATTGAGCTTGTTTCAAATTTAGTGGCTTTGATTCAGCAAGCCACAACAGTTAAAAACAAGGATATCAGAAAATTTTGGGATGGTATCTGTGTCTCTGCAAAAGGAGCTGTTTAGCAGGCTGATAAATAAGATCTAAGAGTTGTACAGCTACAGAAACAAGATGCTAGATGATGGCCGGGCGCGGTGGCTTAAGCCTGTAATCCCAGCACTTTGGGAGGCCAAGGCAGGTGGATCACGAGGTCAAGAGATCGAGACCATCCTGGTCAACGTGGTGAAACCCCGTCTCTACTAAAAATACAAAAAATTAGCTGGGCATGGTGGCACATGCCTGTAATCCCAGCTACTCAGGAGGCTGAGGCAGGAGAATTGCCTGAACCCAGGAGGCAGAGGTTGCGATGAGCCGAGATCGCGCCATTGCACTCCAGCCTGGGTCACATGAGTGAAACTCCGTCTCAAAAAAAAAAAAAAAAAAAAGATGCCAGATGATTCCTAAGATCTATTTGTGACATTTAAATAATGCAATAGACAACCTGTTGATTTGGAAAAAATAATAACATTGAGTATAAACAAACTAAACTCTCCAATCAAAAGACATAAGAGTGGCCAAATGGATAAAAAAATTAAGACCCAACTGGGCATGGTGACTCACAACTATAATCTTACACTTTGGTAGGCCAAGGCGGGAGATTCACTTGAGTCCAAGAGTTTGAGACCAGTCTGGGCAACATAGCAAGACCTCATCTCTTTTTCTTTTTAAAATGTAAAAGACACACAGGAAAAAAATAAAACCCATTGACCTGTTGCCTACAAGAAACATATTTCACCTATAAAGACACATGTAAACTGAAAATAAAAGAATGGAAAAAGATAGTCCATGCCAATGGAAACTAAAAAAGAACAGGAGTAGCTATACTTCTATCAGACAAAATAGATTTCAAGACAAAAACTGTAAGAAGAGATAAAGAAGTTCACTATATAATGATAATGGGGTCAATTCAGCAAGAGGATATAACAATTAGAAATATATATGTACCAACACTGAAGCACTTAGATATACAAATATTATTAGAGCTAAAGAGAGACAGACCCCAATATGATAATAGCTGGAGACTTCAACACCCCACTTTCAGCATTGGACAGATCTTCCAACAGAAAATCAACAAAGAAACACCAAACTTAATTCACACTACAGACCAAATGGATCTAATAGATATTTACAGAGCATTTCATCCAATGACAGCAAAATACACATTCTTTTCCTCAGCACATGCATCATTTTCAAGGATAGACCATATGTTAGGTCACAAAACAAGTCTTAAAACATTAAAAAAACTGAAATAATATGAAGCATGTTCTCTGACCACAATGGAATAAAAGTAGGAATCAATAAGAGGAATTTGGAAACTATTCAAACACATGGAAATTAAATAATATGCTTCTGAATGACCAGTAGTTTAAGGAAGAAATCAAGAAGGAAATTGAAAATTTTCTTGAAAGAAATAATGGAAACACAACATACCAAAACCTATATGATATAGCAAAAGCAGTACTAAGACGGAAGTTTATAGCTATAAGTGCCTACATCAAAAAGAAGAAAAACTTCAAACAAACCACTTAACAATACATCTTTAAAACCAAAAGAGCAAGAGCAAACCAAACTAATGATCGTATGGCATAAAATACACACATAGACTAATGGAACAGAATAGAGAACCCAGAAATAAATTGACACAGCTACAGTGAACTCATTTTCTACAAGGGTGCCAAGAACATACACTGGGGAAAGAGACAGTCTCTTCAATAAATAGTGCTAGGAAAACAATATCCATATGGCAGAGGAATAAAACTAGACCCCTATCTCTTGCCATATACAAAAATCAAATTAACATGGATTGAAGAAGTAAATCTAAAACCTCAAACTATGAAACTACTACAATAAAATATTGGGAAAACTCTCCAGGACATCAGTCTGGGCTGATTTCTTGAGTCATACCCCACAAGTATTGTGGCAACCAAAGCAAAAATACACAAATGGGATCACATCAAGTTTAAAACTTCTGCCAGCAAAGAAAACAATCAACAAAGTAAAGAGACAGTCCATAGAATGGGAGAAAATATTTGAAAACTACTCATCTTACAAGGGATTAATAACCAGAATATATAAGGAGCTCAAACAACTCTAGAGGAAAAAATCTAAAATTTTGATTTTAAAATGAGCAAAATATTTGAATAGACATTTTTCAAAAGAAGACATACAAATAGCATATGAACAGGTGTTCAATGTTGATTATGAGAAAAATGCAAATTAAAACTACATTGAGCTATTATCTCACCTCAGTTTAAATTGATTATATTCAAAAGGCAGGCAATAACAAACGCTGGTAAGGAAGTGGAGAAAAGGGAACTGATATGGTTTGGCTATGTCCCCACCGAAATCTCATCTTTAATTGTTCTCCCATAATTATCACATGTTGCAGGAGGGACCTGGTGAGAGATCATTTGAATCATGGGGGCGGTTTCCCCTATACTGTTCCCATGGTAGTGAATAAGTGTCATGACATCTGATGGTTTTATCAGAGGCTTCCACTTTTGCATCTTCCCCATTTTCTCTTGCCACTGCCATATAAGGAGTGTCTTTTGCCTCCTGCCATGATTTTGAGGCCTCCCCGGCAATGTGGAACTGTAAGTCTAATTAAACCTCTTTTTCTTCCCAGTCTCAGGTATGTCTTTATCAGTAGTGTGAAAACAGACTAATACAGGAACCCTTGTACACTGTTGGTGAGAATGTAAACTAGCACAACCACTATGGAGAATAGTTTGGAGCTTCCTCAAAAAACTGAAAATAGAGCTACCACACAATCCAGCAATCTCACTGCTGGGTATATACCCAAAAGAAAGGAAATCAGTATATCAAAAATATATCTGCATTCCCATGTTTGTTGCAGCTCTGTTCACAATAACCAAGATTTGAAAGCAACCTATGTGTTCATCAACAGATAAATGGATAAAGAAAATATGATACGTATACACAATGGAGTACTATTCAGCCATAAAAAAGAATGAGATTCTATCATTTGCAAAAACATGAATGGAACTGGAGGTCATTATATTAAGTGAAATAAGTCAAGCACAGAAAGACAAAAATCACATGTTTTCACTTATTTGTGGGATCTAAAAATGAAAACAATTGAACCCATGGAGATAGAGAGTAGACGGATGGTTAGCAGAGGCTAGGAAAGGTAATGGAGGTGGGGGAGGAGGGGTGGTTAATGGGTACAAAAAAAATAGAATGAATAAATAAGTCCTGGTAGTTGACAGCACAACGAGGTGACTATAATC